AGAGGTCTCCGTGGTGGACAGCAGGGTTTGAGCTGAGTAAGAGGACAGGCTGGCTCTGCGGCCAGCGAGCACACAGGCTTGTCAGACAGGAGGCACGAATGGGCAAAACTGAACTCTGTGTTAGGGATACAAGCTGGGGTAGACAAGCCAGAGACAAGCAAGGTGGCTGCTTCTCCTGCAGCAGTCAGGACCCCAGTGACTGTGGGGAACTGTGAGGGAGGGCCCAGGGGTCTGGCTGCCATGATGCAGCGATGCCTGACTGTGTCCAGGGGGCTACGTGTCTGTGTTTCCTTTCGTTAACTCACTCAGGCATGCATTGTTTGTACTCTTTTCTGTGTTTATGTTTCATAGTTAAAAAATAGAGAGAAAGGGAGAAAATAAATATTACTCTCCTTACTCTCTTTGTTAAAGGGAAGGGAAGGGAAGGGCCTAACAACAACACACATACACTGTTTAGGGGCAGAATTTCTGGCCAGAGCAGTAATTAGCCAGCATACTATGTTTCATAGGGTACTGGTTCAAATACCAGGACTGAGGCCTGGCCATGGTGGCACAGCAGTTAGGCATCACTGTGCAGTACTGAAGCCACAGAGGAGGCCTGGGTTCAACCCTTGGGCTGACTAGAACATACTGGGTACACCACAAATGCTTGTGTGTGCCCATGCCCCTGCTGTCCATGAGGCTGGGGAGACAGCAGCATGGCCAGACCCTAGCAAGGTTACTTCTCCCTCTTTCATGAGAGAAAGGAAGAGAAAAATAAATACATGTCCAGTCCTAAGTCCTGTGCACAGGGAGCTATATCCCATATAGCCAACTGAGTGGTTCAAATCCTGGCCCTCGCAGCTTGAAAAACATGCCAGGCATGAGTGTGTGCGTGCCCCAAATCCCAAGAGCATGGAGAGGTGAAGAGACTGTGGTGTGGCCAGGGCCCACTGTGGAGGCGCCCTGCCCTCTCTTTCTGATGAGCAGCGTGTGCCCTCTGGCAATTAAAAAAACAGAAAGAAATGGGTGGGGAGGGGAGATACAAAGGCTGAGGCCAAGGGCGCCCTCACCTTGTTTTTCTCTGAAAGCTGCTGCTCCAAGTCCTGCTTCTCCTTCTGTAGCTGTGTGAGGTCCATGGTCCCAACCTCACCATTAGGCGTTCCCTCTCCTGCTGGGAGCTGGTACACTGACCCCTGCACAGCCATCGAGGTCATCTACAGGGTGGGGGCAGCAGGCTGAGAGCCTAAGCCACAGGTGGGAGGGGAAGGGGAGCCAGACCCACTCCCCAGGTGTGGCCTGGTGTGCTCCAACAGGCAGCTGCCAGGAACCAAATTAAAACTCTGAAGAGCCCGTTCCACTTTTTCCGAGGGAGCATCAGCTTCCCATGCACTGCGTCTCTTCTGGGGTAAAGGGGCTTTGCATTGGCATACGAGACAGGCTCTGCAGGCCTCAGTCTCCTCTGGCGCAGGGGAAGTGCCCTGCCTGCTGTGTCTCCCTGCAGCTGAGACCTACCTGCTGCTCACTATGCTCCTGGCCCTGCAGCCTGAGCAGGTCATCCTGTGCCGCAGCTATTGCAGCCTCCTCTGACCTCAGGCTCCTCAGGGCCTCCAGCTCACTCTGCAGCTGGTGCAGCTGCAGCAGGGCAGAGTCATGACCTAGTGGGCAGAGGAGAGGTGTGCGCCTGAGCTGGGGCTCCACATGGCTCCAGGACAGCCTCCAGGACAGCAGTCTTGGGTCAGGGAGGCTGGGCAGGAAGAGGAGAGGAGGCTCCGAAGGGCGGACTCCTCACCTTTCTCCAGCTGGACCACCTCCTGCTCTTTCTGGAGAAGCGCTTCAGTTTTTTCCTGCAGACGCTGCTCCTTCTCATCTATTATGGCTGTTAGGTGAACAGCCTTGGAGAGAAATATCAACGAGGGAGAAGGTTGTAGCAATAACCCCATCCTCCCATAGAAGTCTTCACTTTTCCACTACCATGGTTCCCCATGAGTCTTTCCCCTAGGACAATCCCCAAGCTAACCTCCGCTCCTACAAACATACCTTACAGGGCCCTGTGCAGGGACAATCGCCTCTCGCTGCCCCTACAGTGGGCCATGCTGGGATGCGCCCAGCCTTCCAACAAGCTGCCATAACCATGCCTCCTGTTTCCTGAGTGTCTGTGCCATGCCCAGCCCTGGGTGGGCATTTCAGCACACTACACCTCATTACAGAGGCCACTTGGACTCGGAATTGTTACAGACTTACTGGAGACCTAGAGCCAGTTAACTAGAAGGAAGGCTTTTCCCCACGCTT